CTCTCAGAACCACAGAACTTTACCAATCGAAAGTTGTATATTTTGGTGACAGTCTGAAATTCTATAAAGATTTCTAATTTAAAGAAAAATTTTACCACAATTAGAACATTCTTTGCTTTAAATTGCATCTTGTAGATAAATGTTTTAAGATGTCTAAAATAGTAATCCAAAATAATGAGTGGTTTCTTTTATGGTTCACCATGGCGACCACAGACACACATGAATACACATATATGCATCATACACATGCGCACACATACATATACATATACACATACCATACACACAGATATACACACATTCACACACAGAGACACATACACGTATATACACACAGATGCACATACACATATACAAACACACACAGATACACATATACACCCACATCCACACACATCCACATATGCACACACACAGACACACTTATATATACACATACACACATATACACATTCACACATATACACAGATGCCCATTCACACATACATACACACATCCACAAACATACATACACATACACAAACATACACATACACATGTACACCCACATCCATATCCACACAGACATACACATACACTCTTCACACACACACACACACACACACACACACTTGCATACACATATACCCAGACATACACACACACGTATACACACAGAGAGACTTATACAATACTAGATAAAGAAAATGCCCTTAGTTTGCCTAAAACGGGGGTCATAGAGTAAGAGACCATCCAGAAGAGGTGAGAGGTGTGTATATGGGTGTGTGTGTATGTGTATGTATGTGTATGCAGATGTATGTGTGTAAGTCTGTATGTGTATGTTTGTGTGGATATGGATGTGGGTGTACGTGTATATGTGTATATATGTTTGTGGATATATTTATGTATGTGTGTGTGTGCATGAGCATCTGTGTGTGTGTGTGTGTGTGTGTGTGTGTATGTGTGTGTGTGTGTGTACTTCAGATGGGGCATGATGGCATACACCCCATCCCAGCACTCAGGGGACTAGGGCAGGAGATAGCAATGCCCAATACCTTAAGCACAGTGAGTTCAAGGCCAGCTTAGGTTCCACAAATTAAGACACTCCCTCAGAAGAAAGAGAGGGAGAGAGATAAAAAGAAAAGAGATCCTTTAGGGAATAGATAAAAGTAGAATTTTCTGAAAAAAAAAGCAATGTTGAACTGCTTTACCAAATAAATATATTGATAATCTATTCTTTTTAATGTTCATTCTGGTTTTGAATTCTAAACAAAGCCTGTAAGATACAGGCAAACCCTCTCAGTTCTCTTTTAAAATCTTATTATTCACTGCTTTTATTTTATGTATGTGAGTGTATTGCCTGCATGTATGTGAGTGCACCCATGTTGTGCAATGCCTGCAGAGGTCAGAAGAGGGCACTGGATACCCTGGAACTGGAGTTACAGGATGGTTGTTAGCTGCAGTGTGGGTGCTAAGAATCCAACCTGGGTCCTCTGCAAGAACACCCAGTGCTCTTAACTGCTGAGCCGTCTCTCCAGCCCCAGCCCTCTCACATATGGAGTAGGCACTGGAAAGGGAACGTTCATTTTCATGTTATCTGGACACACATTGCTGCCTATCTCTGCTAACCCACTGCTTCAGCTTTACTTATAACACTTTACACTGTAGCTCAGAACACACAGGGGCACTCAGGAACCCTCCCTGAGCACCCACCCCGCATTACACAGGCATCTCTCAGCTGGTGCCGGCTCCTGGACACCTTCCTGTGGACTTGCTGTGACTCACAGATGCCCATGCCCTGTAAGCCCACCACAAATTGCTTGTGTTTCACCGTTCAGTGAGTTCTGGTGGAAACCCTCAGGTGACGTGCCAGGCACAGCTTTGGATCCACTGCAGGCTGTACTGGGGCGTCTCACTGAAGCGTGAGTTAGATGCTCCTCTCCCCACGTGCAGCACCCCCTCCAGGGCAGTCTCTAAACTGCACCACACTTCCCAGAGGCCACTGTGCTGTGAACAGGTGTCCTACAGACCTCATCACCCCACCTCACACTTTAGCCTCTTTACTCACGCATTGGCCTCTTTCCCCTCATTCATCACTCAGCCATGCACTCATTCATTCGTTCTCTAATTCACTAACTCACCCACCTGACCATTCATTTAGTCACCCATTTCTTCACTCAGTAAACTGCTCATCCCCATGTGTCAGCCACTGAAGAGGAGGATGGACGTCCTCTGTGACTATCAGGAGCCCACAGAGCCACAGGGGAGATGTGCACAGCAGCAGGCTGTGTAGTCGTGGGAAAGACGGCAGCCGTGGCAGGTAACACAGAGACAAAGGCCTTCATTCCACCCTGGAATGGGCTGCTTGTGCAGTGATAATTTAAAAACACTTTAAAACACTAATACCATTACTTCTATCATAGAAAGGCCACCAGGATACCCTGATCTTTTAGAAATTTAAAGTCTAATATGGCTATTTCCCCACCTAAACCGCACATGCATTTTCTCCTCTCGTGCATGTCTCCACTGGGAGCATCTCTGAGCTCCCATCAGCTGTCCCACCATGGCCAGTGCCAATCCCAGGCTCCCACTATCCAGACATGTCCATGCTCAGTCCCTGACAGGAGGCTCCCTCTTTGTCGGGTGTGGTCTCACTCTCTTTCCACCTCTCCCTTCCTTTCCCTTCCTCCCCAGGTCCTCGCCTACTACAGAAAGACACATTGTTTGCCACACACTGTCTCTGTCTGTCCTTTAGATTAGCACACAGCTGGGCCCAAACAGTAAGACCCATTAAAAGTTTGTTATGTCATCAGGCCCAGGTGGACCAGCAACACAGCCAGCTGCACCTCAATCAGTGGGGCTGGTCTCCAGCATATCTGCCATGTGCCGCCAGGCCAGGCATGATGCCCATAGGCGGAGCTGTGCTGCCTCATGGCACACTACAGCCTAGCTGCTGGCCCGGGCTTAGGAAAGCCAGGTGCTCCCCACTAGCTCACAGCATGGCCACCCCTTGGCACTAGACAGAGATTTAACTGTAATTTACTGATTTTTGCGGCTGTTTTCTATGTTGGAACGCTGTTCAAAACCACAAAAGTTTCCAGTTTTAGATGCAAGAGTCAGATGCTCTGCAGACAGACACATCCTTTATATAGGACCCCAAAACCTCTTCAGGCCACAGTAACATCTGGCCTTTTACAGCGGTCAGATACGAGCAGATCTGACCAGTGGCTGAAACGCTACAGCTTCAATTCAAGGCAGACTGAGTCAGCGTTCTGTGTGCAGTGCTGCTGGGACGTGCACGGGGTTAGGGCACGCTGAGTGCTTTTTATTGTACAGTGTGTGATGCTCACAGGGGTGGGCTGCTCACAAAGACGGAGGACAGCTCCTCCACACTCCCCAGCCGCAGTCTGTCCTGCTGCCTGCTGCAAGCACAGCTCATTGGCCAGCTGACACAAAGGGACTCCACATTAACCATGTCAGTACCTGAGGTGCCGTCCTCCCCGACAATGGAAGTCTACTTTGGTTTCAGATGCCAGTCATCTTATGAGAAGGCCATCAGGAAAAGAAAGAGAAAGAATCAGGCATAATGGTCAGAGGAGGGGTGTGATCTGAGCATCTGACTGGGGCCGCCGGCTGCCCTTTTCTCTTTATAAGAACACAGAAAGAATGAAGAACGAGCAAGAAGAAAGGAAAGGGGGAAAAAGAGAGGAAGCAAGAAGAGAGAGATGGGAAGAAAAAGGGGGGAGGGAGAGAGAGAGGAAAGAGGACAGAGGAGAAGGGGAGAAGGAGGGAGGACAGGGGATGGAAGGGGAGATAGGAGAGGACGGGGAAGGGAAGACGGGGGCAGGGGAGGGGCGGGGGAGGAAGGGAAGGGGGGGGAGGGGGGGGGGGAGATGCAGAGCTATGAGAGAAAGCCACATGAGGGGCAGGAGGGGGAACTTCACCGAAGACTAGGAGGAGATGCAGAGCTATGAGAGAAAGCCACATGAGGAGCAGTAGGTGCAACTTCACCGAAGCTTGGACCCCAAAGCGGCTCTCTAGATGATGTGGCATCTGCCCCCCATGGTCACTTGCCAAGTCCGTCTCCAGGACTAACAGGTAAGCACCAAGACTTGCAGATGTGTGGGGTATTGGCACCCCGAGTACTGGTCTGTGAGAAGTTAGCACAGAACACAGGGCACCATTGACTTCTTTTGTTGAGAAAGTTCACTTTTAAGGCAGGCCTGCTCTGGCGCAGCACAGAAGGTCCCTCTCTCACTGGGGAAGCCCTCTAAAGCTAGCCAGTGATCAGCCAGCGTCTGCATCCATACTCAGAGTGACACTGCCAGGAAAGTCAGCTGCTTCCAAGGCTTAGTCTTCTGGTCAGGAAACCCAGGGTCTGTCGTAGGACACAGCTAGCTAACAGCACAATGAGGCTTCTCTGCTGCCAGCCAGCTCAGTGGACTGTGGACCACACTGTGCTTTTTGTACTCATAAGAAGCACCCAGGAAAACTTTCTGTTGTGATCAAATTAGAGCATTCAGGCAGGCAGAGGGGGCATTGACCTCACCATAGGCACGGAGACCCGGGCTAAAAGCTCGATAAAGTTCTAAGACTAAAACAAATACATCATGGCTCTGTAGATATGTAGTTTGCTGGTATTTAAACCTTGGAGAGGTATTTAAACTGTGGATAGCAACATAGACCTACACCCTGTAAGAACACTGTAGTCAACAGACCTACGGCACATTCTCTGGCAGAGGCATAGATTGGAGTGCCTAGTGATATCACAGCTGGCTTACTTTGTTGTAAGCACATGCCACAATATCTTTACAACCACAAAGTCACCCAAGGACACATTTCTCAGGATGAGACCTTATCATCAAGCAGTACATGACCGTATCGAATCTTTAAAGGAGTTATAAATCTAATTTTGACAAATAAACTAACATAAAATGTTAGTATCCTGGCTTCATGACAAAATCAAGGGGATCACCCCCATAGGGAAGGTGTCAAGGACACACGTGTTGACTTGGTTTACCTTCCAGGTGACCCTGATGCTTTGAGATGATATAGGCTCCAGGTGAACTTCCTGAGGTGGACCATCAGGAGCTGTAAGGACCAAAAACCCACAGGCAGGTTAGACACAGGTTCAGGGCAAAGCACAAGCTACACACAGAGGCGGGCACTGAAGGTGTGCCTGTGTCCAGCAGGGAGAAGTGGTTTCTAACCAGAAGTGGGAGAAGCAAATCAGTGCACGGTGTTTGCCTTCTGTTGTCTGCTCGTGGGAACAGCAGACTCTCAGGGGCCCGTCTTTGTATTTCTCCTCGGTATGCTTTTAGTGAGAATAATAACCTTGCCTTGGATAAACTGAAGGGGTAAAACAGGACGTGCTAAGACAATGTGTGTCACACAAGACTGTGGTGTGGTGGGGACCCTACTTGGGAGGCCCTGTTCAGTGATGTGGTGTTGGGCTTCCTCAAGGTTCTCAGAGTTCTGGGGAAAGCAAAGCGGGACACTTCGGCTCTTGGGCCCCTGATCACTCTGGCTCTCCACTTTCGCAGCTAAAAATTCTTGTGAGGCAGGAGCTCAGGCTGCAGATGGAGAAACAAAGTTGAAGAGGACAGAAAGCCTGCAACTCGCAACAAGTCATCTCCAAAGGCTGTGGTGTTGAATCGCTCTGCTGAGAGTCTGTCAGTAGGTATAAGGTATGTGGTATGTGGATATTAAGCAGTTTGCCAGCAAGCATTTGGCCTCTACTCAGAGCCACCAGAGACACACACTCAGAGAAGAAACTACACAGCATGTGACTCTGGAAGAGAGTCAGAAGGGAGACATCTTACTTTAAAATGATGGTTTGGGAACTAACAATTTTGAGATCACTGCTGAGCTTCAAAGAGCCATTTCTGACGATGTGGATGTGGCTGGCACGGCTGGCAGAGGGGCACCTGGAAAGAACACGGCGGGCTCAGGGAGTCCGGGCTGATCACGCAGCAATGGAGGAGTAAAGACCACAACGCTAAAGGGTTGGTCAGGAATGGCATGATAGAGAAGGGTGGTTTTCTTCTATCCAAAGACATTAATATCACGAGTGTGTAAATTCATGAGTGTGTAGCTCTCCAGTCTGGCTCTGCCTCCCACTAACTGTAGCGTTTCCTGCAAGTTTTGCATTTTCTGCGACTCCATTTACTCTGCTGTACCATAGGATAGACGTTATATCATGGTGCTGTGAGGAAACTATGGGTTCAGCAAATAGGAACAGTCACAATAATGCAGTTATCATCTTACATGGTGGAAGGGAAGGTAGAAACATGAACCACAAAGGGCAGAGGCCAACTGGAAGGAGCGCTGTCCTGGTTAAAGAGGGAAGCAGGGGCTGGGAAAAGTGTGGAGTGGGAACACAGGAAGGGGAGCTGTGCGGCTGAGGTGGAGTTTTCTGCTGAAGGAAATACGTTTGGACTCGGCTGTCTTTAAAACAAAAACCAAGGATGCTCAAAACCTTCCTGTAAAATGACATGCAATTCGCATGTTCTCTACACACAGTGTATACTTCAAACCATCTCTAGGTGGATCAGAACACCTAATACAATGTAAAGGCTGTGAGAAGAGCTGTTACTCTGTGTTGATTGGGAATAATACCACAAAGAAACGTCCATGCATAAGCAGATGCAGTCTTTAAAAATGTCTCTAATCTGATGTTATCTGAACCCAGGGATTCTGAGGGCTGACTCCAGTGAGAGGGAAGGCTGGCTATCAGAGTGCAAGTCGGAAGAAAGTCCTCTGGGTGTCAGACCCACAGTAAAAGCCTGGAGAGCTGCTGGGGCTGATGGAAAAGAATGTGCCCTGAGGTTGAGTCCAGGACCCTGGGCAGGGGGACCCAGCTGAGGATGGCAGCTTTGAGAAGAGGTGGAATGTATGGTCACAGTGTGCAGAAGACTTGGAGATAGTGAAGAATAAGGCTGACTGGATGTGGGTGGGGAGGGACTCTGTGTAGGAAGAAATGTAGTCAGGAGACTGTGTATACTGCTGATGGAATGTCAACTAGTTCAGACGCTGTGGAAGCCAGAGGAAGGGTTCTTCATAAAACTGAAAACAGCCTGGAGTGGCGGTGCACACCTTTAATCCCAGAACTCAGGAGATCTCCGTGAGATCAAGATCCGCCTGGTCTGCATAGCAAGTTCCAGGTCAGCTGGGGCTACAAGGAGACCCTGTCTCCAAACAAAACAAAACAACTACAAAACCCACTGAAAACAACCTATCATGCAACCAGCAGCAGCCCTTCTGGGATTCACTCAAGACTCCAAGTCAACACACCCCAGAGATACGTGCCCATCAGCTTTTACTGCAGCTCTGTTCACAACAGACAAGTTATAGAACCGACCCAGGTATCTGTCAACAGAGATACGGGTGAAGAAAACGTAGCGTATGAACGCAATGGAATTTTATTCAGCCATAAAGAAGAAAGAAAGAAGAAAGTGATGCTTCTGGGGCTGATCAGATAGTACAGTAAGCCAGGCTCAGAAAAACAATAATCACTTTTTCTCCCATTTTTGGATCCTAGATTTTATGTAGGCATATAAAATCATGTAAGTAGAGATGACAGGAAAGTACCATCCAGGGGACAAAAGGGACTAACGGGAGCAGGAGATGGGGGTACATGCAGAGTGCACGGTCCCCTGAAAATGGCCATATGAAGCACAGTTTAATAACACTCAAAAGAGAGTCAAGGAAGAAATGGGGGATCTGATGGCTGTTCAGTGACAAGGATGGGGTGGGGCAGCTGCTGGTCCAGTGGGGAAGGACGTAGGGAGCTGGGTCCCACAGGTCAGGGCTGGTGTGAGGGGGACAGAACAAGGGCAGCAATGTGAGAAGCCGCCGTTTTCCAGAGCACAGAATGCACTGTTTGAGAACGGTTATTCTGAAGGGGCGTGGGGAGGCTTTGATGTCGGTGCTGCAGAGCAGAGCGGGTGTTCCGGAGCCCATGCCCTGCTTTTCCAGCACCTTCCTCAGCCCCAGCCTGGTTCAGCCACCCTTGAAATTCTCCACAATTCCTCGTCCTCTGCAATCATCAAGCCCCTCTCCCCTTCACACCCGCTTGCAGGCCAGTCTCAATGTCAGTCCACCTTCCATTGCGCTCCTCAACATTAATACTGCCCTTGATTTTGCCCTTACGAAAGAGCCACAGCCCTAGAGCACCCGGAAGCTTCTAGCAACTTCTCCTTGTATGGAGCCCTTTCCTTCTTTAACTTCAGCTTCCACTGTTCATGTGCAACCGTCCCGTGTTCAGCACCTCAGCAGACTCAAAGACGGGGACCTTGGACAGGTCTGAGTCTTTCCTTTCCCTTCGCCAACTTTCTGCCCTTGCCTGGGAGCACCCACAGCAGCCCCCCGCCCCCAACCTGGGCTCCCAGACCAGCCGGGCAGTGCTGGACATAACCTGGCATTTCAGGATTTCATGCCTCTGGTCTCCCAGGGGGCTCTAAACTAAGTGACCTCTGGAGCCAGCACTTTGCAGATGTGGGAACCACTCCCTCCCTCCTCCTTCTTCTCAGTAGGTCCTGGGGACAGTGGTAAACCAGGGGTGCTGCAGACTCCTGGGCTTGCTAATTCCCCATGTGAAAAGGCTCTTACAGCACAGATATTACTTTCCAGTATCTAACCACTGACATCATCATTGTTAGAGCCCTGCCCCTAATTTCTGCAAATCAAGTCCTTCACACAGTAAACCTGATATAGATTTGATAAAAACATGTAGAGTGGGTTTCTTCTCACATCAGTGATGAAGAAACAAGTTTTTTTAAAAAAGATTTATGTTATTTTCAATCATGTGTACATATGTGTGTGCGTGTGTGGACAGGTGTATGTGAATGCAGGTGCTCAGAGGCATCAGATAGATCCCTTGGAGCTGGAGCTGGAGTTGGAATTGTATGTGACTTGCCTGATGTGGGTGCTAGGAGCTGATCTGGGGGCCTTCTTCAAGAGCGGTGTGCATACCTAGCCACTGAGCTATCTCTTAGTTCCCCATCAAAGCTGTTCTTCGATGGCTGAGAGGCATGCTGGGTGTGCTGCCACTGCAATTTAAATGTGTGCAGCAGAGTTTGCTGGGGATCAGACGTGATGTCAGGGCTCTAGTCTCATCCTGGATCATTGGATGGGTCAGGCTGTGGCTCTGAGTGCGGGTGTCTCTGGAAGATGGTGGATGATTACCACAGCCTTTATGTTCTTGGTGAGATACCTTCACGATTAAAATAAAAGTGCTCCTACACGTTTTACAGGGATGCCTTAGGACATCTCAGGCAACATGAAAGCCATGAAGTGTCCGCAACTCAAGACAACTTGTCTTTGAGCTCTGGGATGGTGGTTTATGAAGGTCCCATGGCAGGGGAAGGAGATGGCCTGGTCTCCAGCTCAGAGCTGACTGTATTTTACAATATCAACACATTTATTACAGAGCCTACTGGTACCTCAGTGGCTTGTTGATAATTCTGGTGCTGACCTACTCTCCGAAGTGAATGTGTTGGTATGTATTTTCTCTTAAAAATGAAATCATAGACACACTCTAAACACCTAAATGCATCTACAGGCACCTCAGAGACATACAACAGGGGCGGGTTGGTTGTTTGTTTACAAGGGGGACAGGCTTTTCTACTGTAAGTTTCTAAAACATCATGAGAAAATCTTTTCAAATCATAAAAGGAATTAGTCTTCGTGTGGAATTTTAGTGCTGACCTTACAGAGTGATAGGTTTTTGTTGTTACAGGCCATTTCTGTTCATGAGGTGTTTGTTTACTGGACTACATTTGAAAGTCATGCTGACATTTGACATGTAGGAATTGGTTTAGAAGCTCCTAAATCAAAGCTGTAGTATATCCAGAGGAAAGAGATTATGTGTCTGTGTGTGTACATGAGTGCAGTGCCTGAAGAGGCCAGAAGAGGGCGCGAGATAACCTGGAGCTTGAGTAACAGGTGGTTGTGAGCTGTCTGATGAGTTCAATGCTGGCAAACAGGTCCTCTACAAGAGCAACAAGCACTCTTAACGGCTGAGCCACCTCTCCAGCCCTGAAGGTCTGTATTAGGTTTTGGTTTTCAGCCTAGAATGCCTACCTAGCATG